TATGAAAGTTTGACAGATAAAATGAGGGGTTATTGGTTTTGCCTATGTTCGAGGGGTGAATCGATTAGCTTGGGACCGAAGAGAGTACCAGAGTTGATGCTTCTCAACAGAATTAAAAATATATTTCAGAACCCTGCGAAGTCATAGAACATAAGTCCTAATGTTAATATGTAGTCTACGATTTGATTGATTGACGAATAAATAAATAAAGTACCAGAGTTGAGTCAAAAAGTTGAGCACGTTATTTCGGGATCTTCTAGTCTTAGAGTTACCTCTATGGTAGAGCAGTTTTAAAATATGATTCCATTTTATGAATTGCATCACGGGAAAAACGCTGAAAAAATAACCCATTGGGTATTTTCTCTTGAAAATTTGAGTAGAAGTAGTTTAGAGTGCATTATTTACACTGTATTTTTATCGCTGTCAGTTTTTTGAAACTTCGAAAAATTGGCGTCTCCTGAAAAGCAACGTCGCGAAATGATTTTGCACAAGCACCTGGAAAGTCCTCAACTCTCTCATCGGGACATCGGAAAACAACTCGGAATCGTACAGTCAACGGTGAGTTGTGTGATTAAACGTAGCTGCAAAACTCTGAGCATCGAACGGAAGAAGAAATGCGGTCAGAATGGATGTTCTATTAGTGATCAGGATTACAAGCGTTTCGTGAAAGTGTTTAAGCGGAATCCCAATGCTTCGTCCAGGGATGTGGCCAAAAAGTTGAATCTGTCCAAGTCTTTAGGAGGACTGCATACGTACAAAGTGCAGAAGGCTCCAAATCGTGACGAACGGCAAAATACGGTGGGAAAGTCACGGGCCCGGAAACTGTACACCTAGATGCTGAGGAAGCCTCATTGGCTTATCATGGATGATGAGACCTACGTGAAGGCGGACTTCCGGCAGCTTCCGGGGCTACTGTTCTTCACCGCTCAGCATATGTTTGATATTCCGGAGGAAGTAAAGAAGCAGACACTTTCAAAGTTTGCCAAGAAATACATGATTTGGCAAGCGATCTGCTCATGTGGCAAACGGAGTGCGCCGTTCGTGACTACCAGGACTATAATGGGGAAGATCTACCTCAAGGAGTGTCTACAGAAGCGTATGCTTCCTCTGTTGAAGCAGCACGCGGGCCCTACGATCTTCTGGACGGATCTAGCTTCGTTCCCTTATTCAAATGTTGTTATGGAGTGGTACGAAGCCATGAACCCCCCCCCCCCCCCCCCCATCGGTTTGTGATACTAGAAACGCAGTGGTAGTAATACGTTACGTATCTGTAGGTAGTCCGGTAGAATGGTAGTAGCGAAAGTGAAACGTATAGGCTGTGATTCTTCGTACTGTCCAGTCCATCTTCTGTTGTGAGTTTGGAGAGCCGGCAAGCATCCAATACAGCTACAACTGGCATATTGACGTCGTTGCGTTTAATTTCAGTTGGGTCTATATACTGGTCATATACTAAACCATCGATCTCCACCAAATGAGATGGTGCATACAGATAAAACGATGAGCGTAGATATGAGCACTTTATAAAGTTGTTGGAGTCTTTTCGTTTATCGAACGTGATCTTTAGTTTTTCGTCGTTCATCTTTAAAATTTCTATAACAGACTTGTATGTTCAGTTTAGAAATTCTGCAATATGAAATGCGTTTATTGCACATTTCACTCGTCGTAAAAAAAACAATGTATGTAGAGTTTGGGATACACAGCTAGTTGCACCCACCGCTTTTTCTCGGTGGGGTTTCAAACAGTCGGTCTGATTTTTTGCATGTGAGTATCCAAGTAGCCATAGGCACGTTATCTCCCCTTTTTGGTTATATACAGCTGGACAACGGCCATACCAGTGTTTGTAAGTTCTGATGAGGCCCGTACAAAACCAAAAAGGCGAAATAACGTGCCTATGGTTACTTGGGTAGTGCCAATGGAGAACTAGTCACTCGCAGAAAATCAGAGCGCTTAGTTGAAAACCCACCGAGACAAAGCGGTGGGTAGAACTCAGTGGAAAACACGTTCTTCTGAGGAAAACTATAATCTAATCCTACTGACTGATGAGGGTTCGATTTCCATTGTTTACAGCTTTCCCCGAAGAACGCGTTACCCACTGAGTTCAACCCACCGCTTTGTCTCGGTGGGTTTTTAACCAAGCGCTCTGATTTTCTGCTAGTGACTAGTTCTCCATTGACACTACTCACATGCAAATAATCAGAACGGCTGGTTGAAACCACGCCGAGAAAAAGCGGTGGGTGCAACTCAGTGGGTAACGCGTTCTTCGGGGGATAGCTGTATAATGAATACGACCGCACTACAAGCCTACCGGATTTGTCGGTAACTGAGGGTCAATTTACTTGATTCGTGTTGTCATTCAAATAGCTCTCGCTAAATTTCAACTTCTATTCAAATTTTAAAACTGCTGTACTCTAACGGAGCTATCAATGCTGTCCTCTTCATAACTTTCTCTAGCAAATAAATTTCACATTAAGTCTCATGTTAACATTAGTAAAGCATTTCCTTCAACTTCCGAAATATGCTTATCTCGTGATATTTCTACGATTCATTTGACAAATCTACGTATGAAAATATAAATTTGTGTCCCGGAAAGTATTAACTTAAATCGAGCTTTTAATTTGTTGCAAGTACACAAAGTATACAGTCATCTTTCGCTCGTTGGGCTAAACCCATGGCCTACTTAGGCTGTGAACCATTTGCCGATTTAAATTTAACTCGTGGTTAAAAGTGACATTTCGAAAGTTATTTTCTATGTTCGAAAATCCCCGTGCTGTCGATCGACCGGTTTTTGAGCCACAGTTGTCAAAATTTAACTTCTTGTCTGTCAGAAATAACCATGCTCGGATAGCAGGGTTAATCGATAACTTTCCATCTGTCAAATTTTAACCAAAAGTTAAAATAATCCACCAAATGGTTCAGAGCCTTAGTGAAAGGCTTTCGTTAGTTGGGCTGAGCTGTCAAAGCTGAAAATTGCTTGCGGATACATCGATTGTCTATTGTTATCAAAATCGTTTAGCAACTATCCAAATTGTTCATCCATGAGCCCCTCGAAAATGAATCTGCAATGTCAGAAATGACGTTTGACTTCGATTTAGGTGGGCTACAGCCCAACTAACGGGAGTCCAACTGAAACGTAGCCCACTTTAATAGCGAATTCGTTTATTATTCAGTTCCAACCTGGATCGGGTATCAAGATTGGGTCTGCTTGTTTTCTAGCAAACGTCAGTTTGATCGTTTGTTTTTAAAACCTGGCACGGGTCGAGGTTCGCACTGACAAAAAGTTCGGGTTCGCACGGGTTGGAACTGGTTCCAACCCTGATAATAAACGAATTCGCTATAAGATAGCCCAACGAGCGAAACTCGACTGTACTAGGTTGTGCGCAGGTCCAATAGGAATGTGATACGCGAAGAAAACTTTGAAGAATCATCAATGGCTCTCACGCTGAAGGACAACAATTCAAATCCCATTGCCGTGTCAAAATTAACCACTTCATTCGAGCAGTTAAAATGACGTTTGCTACCACTCGAACTTTGAAATAAAACATTATTTCGAGACTATTTCTTCTAGAACCACGAGATAAGTAGCCAACATTTGTGCATTTCATAAAAACATAGAAATTGGTTGGTCCAGTTTTGTGAAATCGCTGGTAGAAAATCACGCCAAAACTGCTTGACAAAGTGGTCAATTACAATTCTAATAATTTGTAGCATTTCCAGGTTTCGTGTTAACATTGTCTTTAATTCCAGTGATTTCGAGAAAATATACATTAGGATGGGTCAACTTAACGACTCTCTACTCCCCACAGCTCTTTCGATTCGTATCGAAGCCCCCAACAACTCTGCCAAATTTGAATGAATTTGGTTACGATCTGGATTTGCGGGAGAGCTTGATAAATTGTATGGGAAAATGTATGAGAAGCTGTCCGAAACTGTTCAACTACTTGGCACAAAATCAGAAATCGCTCAATTTTTAACAAACCTGATGGAGAAAACTATGCAAAACAACTTCGTTCAAGGTCGTAAATCGATTCGACTTTTGTGCAAAACATATTATTCTTTATTTATGGCCATGTGTTCCGCACATACCTTCTGGTGGATTTAAGCTTGTAGGTATGAGCGGAAAAAAATAATAACTTTTTGCACAGAAGTTGAATCGGTTTGCTGTCTTCGACGAAGATGTTCTGTATATTGTTTTCTCAATCCAAATCTAAGTCTAAGAAATTTGAACAATTTTTGAAATTTTATCAAGCTAATTAATAGATTTGTTCCGTTTCCCATACATTTTAACCATATCAATTTTAAAGCTCTCCCGCGTAACCGAATTCATTCAAATCTGGCACAGTTGCTGAGGATCCCAATACGAATGGAAAGACATGTTGCAAGCCGGAGGTTGTGATTCGCCACATAAAGTTAACCCACCCTAACATACACAATTAGATTTTTTGCCGAGAGTGGCACCACCGAGCAGGTCCGCATTTATTTTTACTGAGAAATCAGCAAAATTCCCGGTTTGTTAGCTGAATCTCGGCAAGTTTTTCACTGAGATCCAGCAAAATAAAATGCCGAGCTGCTCGGTGGTGCCACTCTCTGGTCAAAAAAATCCAAGTGCGTACATACATTGATACAATACAATGTAATATTTTAGATTATTAAGATTATCACCCCTATTCTATATTTCGTTCGGAACGAAATTCCTATACAAAAAAAAAAAAATATTATTTGTATGAGAATTTCGTTTCGAACGAAATGCAGAATAGGCGTGTATATGTACCTATAATTTAATCGTGATGCTTGTGAGCTTGGTGGGTGGAAAATTAACTACACACAATTTTACTAACGTTTCACTACACTGGATTTAGTTATTGGTTGACCGAATCTGAGTGTATATGACTAGAAGGCCATAAATTCATTTCCTGTTAAACATTTTCCCTAAACAACTACTAGTTTTAAACGAGAATTTCTCATTCCATGATTTTCTTTGGTTCGAGCGTTGAACACTGCTCTCGCCGCCACTCTCCTCCCGTCCCATACGTTTTCAAATCACCGTCAGCAGATAGTAAGCCATCACTATCGCGGGAACCATGGCGAATGCCAATCCCACACTGGCCACACCAAGCATCCCTGCATTCATCAGCAGTTCCTTGGTCACCGAATCGAAGCAACCTTCGGTGAAGATTGTCAACGAAGTTTGCAGCTCCTGGCAGGGCCGCTTGCGACCGCCGTAGTCATCCTGGCAGCACGAGTCCGGAATACGGTCACGCCAATCGATGAAACTGTCCACACCGCAGCACTGCAGCTCCTCCTGGGTCATGTCCCAGGAGATGGTCATCATGCGGCGCCGGCCGTACTGGGACATCGACTCGTACAGGTAGTCTTTGAAGGATTCCATGGCACGGTCCTGGAAGAGGTAACCCAGGATGGTACCCACGAAGAGCACTGCGAACAAGAGGAAGAATAACAAGAAGTACTGGAAGAAGAATGGTTAGTAAAGGACTGAGTCTAAACTCATGTAACAAAATAAGACCAAGCTCGTAAAAATTACTTAAATCTTTATTCATTTAAAATTAAGTTTTACAATGACACAGAAGTTCAGATATAGATGCATAAAAGCTTGACTGATGGATGGAATGAATATCATCGGGTTCGATTGATTTACTTTCGGCACATTGTTGTATTTTTTTTCAGATCCTTATCGACTTACTCTAGATAAGTATATTAAGTTAAATATTAAGAATTGGTGTGTGCGATGAAAGCACATGAGCACACACACTTACACAGAAGATGACTGCTTTCTCATTTTGTAGCGTTTTTAGTTTTTAAATGCATGCTCAGCATTTTCCTATTTACACAGTGTTGAGATTCCGTATCAAGTGAATCAAAGATCTTCGATTGCGAAGGCTCGTAGAAAACTTAAGCGCGTGTGCCTTAACATTGTACTTTTGTTTTGCTCTCAGGTAATCATCAGAGCAATGATAGGCGATCAAGTGGTAAAAGAACAAGTTGTGATCAAATAAAGCAGGAAGCCACGCTACTCGATCATCCGGAACAGCGAGCACGAGAAGATCATTCCGAATATCAGCAGAATGGCGACGATGATTCCGGACGCACCGATGAACGCCGCATTGTCCCGTATCAGGTTGGACGTAATATCGAGACAGCCCTGGATGTAGATGTTCTCCGGCGTCGGGTGGTCCTGGCAGGGTTTGTAATCCGTGAAAGTCTTTTGGCAGCAAGACTGAGGGATTGAACCGCGCCAATCGTTGTAGTGCTTGACGCCACAGCACTTGAGCCGCTCCTGGGTCATGTCCCACGCCTGGGTTATGGAGCGCTTGCCATAGGCACCGTAGAATGTCATCGATGAGCGCATCTCCTGGTCCATGGTTTGGGACACCTTCTCGCGGAACACGTACCCCAGGATGCCGCCGATGAGCATCGTGACGAAAATCAGGAAAATCAAAATGAAGTACTGAAAAGGAAGCCGGGAAACGAAATTTGGATATTGTAAGGTGAGGCAACGGTTTTTGTTTGTCTGTTTGAGTGATGTGACGTTGTGGGGGTGGGTGTATGAGGCCAATGAAGTGAGAATGCAAATGAAATGATAATGTAAAAGTGACGGTAATGGTGCCAAATACGAGTGCTTTCCATGTGAAAGTAGTTTCTCTGTACAAACCTGCACAGTTTATCGGTTAACAGTTGTCTGCAGACAGCCAGGTGTACATTCAAAGTGTACATATTATCTGTGATAGTGTGATCATTAGACTGATGCAAAATTTGAAAATTTCGCTCCACAGTGTTCAAACGGTTTCACATCGGGTCCTGATTAGCCTCCGAAAGTTTAAACTCATTTGGTAAGAAACTAACTCAGCACAAACCATGCCCAATGTGATCATGCCCAATGTGATCATGCCCAAGTAACATTGCAAGTTTGATTGAGGTTTTAAAGCATGCTACAAGTCTAAAACATGGTCTACAGAACCCTTTTAAAACCGAAATTGTTACTTGGGTTGTCTTTTAACAACCTGAACCCTGTGAACGAATGATAACCTAAATGATAGCACTATTCCTCAAATTGTTTGGATGCTACCCGGAACACGTCGCTTAGCAAAATAACGGTAACAAATTTGCTGACTGTACAGACTGTTCTGCAGAGCTTGTCTGTTGCAGATATTTTGTCATTCAGTTCTTTCTGAAGTGATTCTGATCTTTTCCAAAGTGATTCCAAACTTTCCAAATGTAATGTAATGTCGGTACAGATGGATCTCGTTTTTGGAAACATAGTTAGAGTGCACTCTCTACAACTCGATTTTGAAGGGACCATAGAGTTATAGAATAGCAATCCCTTACAAATTCGCTATCACAGTAGCCATGACATTCATTTTTACTACGGTTCTAAATATATCTCGATATCGAGTTAGCGGACATCGAGTTGTGGAGAGTTTTTTGACGTTGGATAACGTCTTTCGGCAACATACGGGGGTACAAAATTGAAAACAGTCATTTTGGATGCGTTACGAAAAATTAAAAGATTTTGAACGATAATAACTCAACCGTCTCTCGATAGATTTACGAGATAATGGCATCAATCCATTGGAAATATTTCTAGCAATTTGCTGAATGTTTCAAAACTATTGATTTCATTCTGTAAACTATTGAAAAATGGTTAAAAGTAAACCATTGTCTAAAGATGGTGAAAATCGATTGATTTTTTTATATTCTTATACTTTCTCCAACCGAGACATCAGATGCGAGTATCTGACACCTCTGATATTTTCTGTTCTACTATATAAGCGTTCAACAAGGTCGCCCGTTCCATCATTGTCTATCCGATCGTCGACCCAGCAGCAGAGCAGCAGAGCAGCAGTACCAGAGCAGCGGAAGCAGAGCAACGGCAGCAGAGCAGCGGCAGCAGAGCCTGGGGGCGAAAGGGCAACTACGCCGAGTGCGTTGGTGCCAGTGCTCCGGTATACTGGGCCGCCGTCATGGAATGCCCAGCTGCTGCAGTTCTCAGTCGGTCGTATTCACTGTCTGCTCCGCAAGGGCAACTACGCCGAGCGCGTTGGAAAAATGGCCCTTTTCAGGGCCACAACATTATCAAGAAAGAGTTTAACGTACGTATGCGAGTATCTGACACCTCTGATATTTTCTGTTCTACTATATAAGCGTCCAACAAGGTCGCCCGTTCCATCATTGTCAACAACATCAGCCCAACAAAACGACCCTTTTCAGGGCCACCAAACTTTCGCAAAAGAGTTATTAAGGAATATTCCTAAAATATAATATACACAATTAAGTACAACACATAACAGACGTTATCCAACGCCAACCCTGCGGTCGTATCTAGTATACAACCCTTCCAACTTTTTTTTTTCCTTTGGTTTGTTTTTTTCCGTCGATCTTGTTTTCCGTGCTGAGCACCAATGCTACCGACGCCAGGGAGGCATCTCACACACCCGGACCCTAAATACCTATCGACCCATCAACTCATGAACCGGGGACCAACGGCTTTACTACCCATCCGAAGGAAGGCGTGATCAGAGATGTTATGCCTCAGAACATCCCGGCGGCGCCGACTGGGATTGAACCCAGGCCTGCTGGGGTGAGAGGTAATCACGCTTACCACTACACCACCGGCGCCGTTATATTTGTGGAGAGTTGGCTGTCCTTAATTTATGTTGCCAAAATCTAGACCTTGATGTGTCATAATTGAGTGCTAATATGCGTATACTGAAAAATCAGTACGTTACAAGCCAATACGTTACGTTAGTGTAATCTCCATTTCGCAAGGCAGTCCAAGAACAGCATATGAAATGAAAGTTGAAGACAAAAGTAAAGTTCCAATAGGGACGTAATAATGATGAAGAATGAGAAGAACTTATCAACACATCAATTTAAAGAATCATTATTTCAAATGCACACCTACTACCCTGGTGACAGAATTCTGAACTAAACAGTGCACCATCCAAAAGGTCTTGGCATCTGAACAACTCGGCCAAATACAGCAAGTCACTACATACACTTGTGCCACATGGTGAAGAAATTTCCAACTATATTGACCACCAGACAAGGGAACGTCCATTACTTATGTCACGCAAATGTGGCCCAAGGCGAAGTCTTTTTTTACGCAGTATTCAATTTACGTCCCTCTTTTTACGAAGTAAATCCCAAATAACGAGTTTTTTTTTTACGAAGTAAATTCCAAATAACGAGTTTTTTTTTTTGATTTTGGGAAACTGGGAAAAACTGTCAAATACCCCACAATATGGGTATTTTTGGAATCGGAGTGACGTGTAGGGACCGGAAATCGATGTCTGCCCAACAAACAATTTGAGTTGATCAACAGCTGAAAAAGCTATTTTTTAGCTGAAAAAGCTTACGTTTGCCTGAATAAGCTCTTATTCAACATTCAATGTTTGTTGGGTGACGCCATTTTTAAATCCAAGAAGGCGACTTCCGGTTACATAAAAACTTGGAAATTCTGCCAAATACCCCACAATATGGGTATTTTTGGAAACGGAGTGACGTTTAGGGACCGGAAATCGATGTCTGTCGCCATTTGAAATCCAAGATGGCGGATTCCGGTTACAGAAAAACTTGAACATTCTGCCAAATACCCCACAATATGGGTATTTTTTGAATCGAAGTGACGTGTAGGGACCGCAAATCAATGTCTGACGCCATTTTGAAATCCAAGATGGTGACTTCAGGTTACAGAAAAACTTGTAAATTCTGCCGAATACCCCCACAATATGGGTATTTTTGGAATCAGGGTGATGTGCAGGGACCAGAAATCGGTTACATAAAAACTTGGAAATTCTGTCATATACCCCACAATATGGGTATTTTTGAATCGAAGTGACGTGTAGGGACCGCAAATCAATGTCTGACGCCATTTTTAAATTCAAGATGGCGACTTCCGGTTACATAAAAACTTGGAAATTCTGCCCCACAATATAAGTTGCCTGTATCTCTTCTAATAAAAAAGATATACCCAAATATAGTTGAAAATATTAATAAATTCAAATTAATTTAATACGAGTTTAAAAAATAACATACCTCTAATTTTTTTCATATTGTTGAGAATAACATACGTCCTTTCAAATGTTGTAAAAAAACTATTTTTTGTTTGCCCCAAACAAAGATATTAACATTTGAAAAGGGCATATTTTTAGTAGAAAAACGTCAATAACTCTTGATCGACGAAAGATATTGACAAGCTTTGTGCAGCAAAAATTTGCACTTTCTAAAGATCTAAAAGTTATTTCAAGACACCTTTGCTGAGAAATTTGAAATAAGAAAACTAGAGCAAAACAACTGTTTTTTTAAGAGACATCCTAACTCAATTCAAGAAAATAGCTCTAAATCAATCAATTTAAGAGATACAAAAAAGTTTTTTATACAAAGTTGCTTGAAATCAGCTCAGCTATAACTTGGCCCAAGAATGTATACCTTAATTTATTCAAACAAAAAAGTTAGATTTTTATTTTAATGATAATAAGAACCACCCTCGAATTCATTGTCATAAAAAAGAGGGCCCAACTATAAGGAACAACTTTGTTAGTCTAAAGTTTCAATTTCAGGCTCAATACATATCATTCCCCCTAAATCTGCATTCTGGACACTGTGCAGTGGTACAGCGAAAATGGCGTCACAGTGGTTCCCGAGGACATGGATTTGGCCAATACTCCTGGCCAATTGAACTGATAATTATTAATTTACAGGCAACCAATTCGCGATATATTCCACATAAAGTTGATCGATGTTACAAAACCATTCATGAGCCTTACTGACTACCATAACCATAACCATTAATGTTCTCAAACCATAAGTAAAAACGTTCTAATATAGTTCTCTTTCCGAAAATGTATGAAGAAAACAAGAATTTGAAATGGTAATGTTTCTTAACAACCCATTATTTGTAAGGTCCGCTTCCTAAAAACCATAATACATAAGGTTAAAACTTTATCACACAAACGTTCATGTAAGGTTCCAAAACCATTTCAGTTAAAGTTAAGGAGGGATTATAAACAATTTATAACCATTATCGGTAAGGTCAATTTATGGTTCGCGTTTATGCGGGATGGTAAGAAAGAAGACTGAAACAATGGTCTTACAATAATACATAATACCTACTAATAATAGCTGTTACATTGAACTATCGAAAATAAATCGCATTTTTAAACCCCAACCCCTTTTATAATTCATTAATCCGTAAGTAACCCACTATAGGAAGGGGTTCATAAATGAGAAATTTATCCTATTATATGAGAAATATTTGACCTTTTTTCATCCCTTCGGGCTTTAGTAAATTTCAATCTTTTATCCATTTCGACCTTTTGTTCATTCGATCTTTTGTCTTTCGAGCTTTTTATCATGAGTCGAATTGATGAGCTTAGCATGCATAATCACAACTCTAGATAGAGCTGGAATTAGGGCCCATCAGCTTTTGTAAACAATGACTTCTCTTGATAGTTTCTAGAAATTTAAGGCTCGCCCACGCAAACCAACATCCTCATCGGGTAGGGAAAGACTTCCTCTATCCGATGGTTAGGTTGGTCTGCGTGGATGTGCCTTGAATTCCTAGAAATCACCGATAGAAGTCATTGTTTACAACAGCTGTTACGCCCTAATTCCTGCTCTATCTGGAACTGATGTGAGCCACGAAAATGAAATGTATTATCCGCCATCGACCACTCACCGTCAGCAGCATGCACTTGTACTCCTTGGCCGCGCCGATGCATCCGAAGAAGGACAACAGGCAAACCAGTGCCGAGGTCGCAATCAGCACGTAAACCGCACCGGAGAACAGGTTCGTTCCGAGCAGCTCGTTGATAAAGTTCTTATCTACCACGGTCCACACGCCGAGTCCGAACACGATGGCACCACCAAACTATTGTCGGAAGGGGAGATTACTGTTCGTGATTTCAGTTGTTACGCGATTGTCACACACACATACACACGTGAGTTGCGTGTGATTCCATACTTACGAAAATAACAAAATTGGAGATAAACATGCTATACTTGACACACTGCCCGCAGCAGTCCATTCTGCCGCCCAATCCCATGGTGAGACGGTTCCGTGAGGATCTGGAAGACGGGAAAAGAGAGAGAGAGAGAGGACACTGTGTTAGTCGCTTTCGGTTGCAATTTTTTTGTTTCTATTACGAGATAAAAGTTTCCTTGCGCGAAGCCAAACCCATTATCGTCTTATTTAATCCGATGAGTTTCTCATGATCGTAACGCATATAATTTATTGCATTTCATAAAACTGAGCTATCATGTGTTTTTTTTTCCCGCGCACGTTCATCGCTTGCTTTGCAAGCCACTCATCGAAGTCACCTCCAACTGTCTATCGGATTTCCGCAAGCACTTGTCTAATCCATTTGAGATTAGCGCTTATTCATTCATTGAATTCACTCCACAATGGTGCGATCTGATTCCGAACGGAATATCACTCGAAATTTGTCACGACGATGACGATGATCGTGCGGTCGTGGCCTCAGCAGACTGGCACTTAGCAGTCAGTAGTGGGTTGTTAGAGCGAGCCGCAAGCCGCGCAAAGATAGATGGACAGAGAGGTCATTCTCGGGAGCACCACTGTTTTGCGATTGTGAGGCGAGTAAAGTGAAGGGATATCTGTGCTCGGCGACGACGGCGTCCAATGCCAAGGACTCGGTGGCGATCGGTTTGTGAACGATGACCGGAGCGGAGTGGACAGAAAATAATACGAAACTTGGAACCGGACGAAGCCTTGAACGGGGTGACTTGTAGCTTTTGCGCTATCGCTTTTTTATTTTGAACTGAAGCCACCACGATCGCTTCATGATGATCAATTTTGGGATCGAGTCGACATCGACAAGAGCTTCGGAAATGAGGTTTCCAATTTCAGAACGTCTGTACGTGGTATCGTTTGCTCCGTTTGGGGTGAGAATAACAAATTCGTTACACAGCATTAGACACGCAATTGACCATGACCTCATTGTACGACTTAATTCGGAATGCTGCAATGTGCGCTCAAGAATATTCGGATCAATTGACGGCATCGCCGTAGCCGGCGCAGTCAAGAACCTCGGCCTGTGTGCTGTTTTTTTTGTTTGTTTCATCTGGTATTTCACAGAGCCTATAATTGATTATAATTGATACCAATTACCTAGACGATGACGCTAGTACAACTCGAGCAGTTCATAGACTTTTATTCCGCTATAGGAACTCGAGACAATTACACGCCGTTGCACTTGATAATGACCTCGCGATGATTGCCCACCCGGCTACTGACAGGCTGCTGCTGCTGGTAAAGGTCTGTCGATCTACCGTTGAGTCGTAGAGCAAAAAAAAAAAAAAGAAATACAAAATCGAGAACGTGCGACGATGGAGTGCATTTCCTGATTCTGTGTAGGTAGGTACATACATACTGTGATTTGTCTAGAACGCGAAATCTGGTTTAGTGGGGCTGTAAGGCATTTCACACTTTTTACTTTGCTTTACTTTTTGCGTGACCTGTTTTGTGAGAGTGAAAAGTTTTGATTTTCTTACAGAGAGATAGGCTGTTTTTTGCTTCTGTTGGAACCGACCGGTTTGATAAGTAATTTAAACAGTGCTGCTTTTAGAGGAGTGGAGTATGTTTGATAGGGTGGTTCAAAATGTCGATTTAGCTCAACCAAGCTCAATCGATTTTAAAACAGGTTCTGATCATTCTTCCACAATTTGAGCTCATTTGGATGCGATTTGATAATGCACTGGCCCCTTGAGGCTTATGTGGGAGTTTATTTACGAGTATGCCTGCTATTTAATTTTCTCAGCTACAACTTGGCTGAAGATCATGTTTTAATTGACCATCGAATTAGTTATTTATTAGGCAGATGATATTCTTCTGACATGCTCCATCAACTGCTCAGCAGGCAATAGCAAGATAGCGTGTTGTTGGCTTCTAGAAAGTTGCGGTTTTTCGTAACATGATCAACTTTTCGAAACTTATTATGCCTTGGAGACAAACTAGCCTGATGCTTACCATACTTCTCAACACATTTATAAACTTCCATGAACTTTTTCGGACTTCTTAAAGTTTACTCATTTTTCTTAACGATCATGGATCTTCTCTAAAATTCGTTGCAGTTCTCGAAACTTCTTTAACATTTCTAGATAGAGCTGGAATTAGGGCCTAACAGCCAGTGTTGGAAAAGTTCGCGATATTTCACGAAGTTCTCCAAGGGAAAAGTTCGCGAGTCATAGTGATTTTTTGCGAACTTTTCCATCACTGCTAACAGCTTTTGTAAACAATGACTCGCCCACGCCCACGCAAACCAACATCCTCATCGGGTAGGGAAAGATTTCCTCTATCCGATGTCTAGGTTGGTCTGCGTGGAAGTCATTGTTTACAAAAGCTGTTACGCCCTAATTCCAGCTCTATCTAGATTTATGTAAATTCTTGAATGTTAAAGTAACTGCTTTGAGATTCTTTATTCTTTCCTGAAGTTTTCAAAATTTATCATCTTAAGTTTGTTCAGTTCTCATGAAACTTGTTGTACTGTCCTAAATTTAATTGATATGTGCTAAAAATGTTCAATCTTCCGTGAACTTCTGAACTTATGAAAAGACCTCAATAATTGTCTTAACATCTCTGATGTTCTCTAAAAATCTGGAAGCTTCTTAAAATTTTCCGCAAATTTTCTGAAATTAATGGAACTGAACTCCCCCTGAAACTCCGCCTATTTTTGGAGTTTACAAGACTTATTTGAAATGCTCTTGTGTTTTGCTAATGTCCATGAAAGTTCTATGAAGTTCTTCAAATGTCTCTGAAGATCTTCAGTAACATTTCGAGTACTTCATAGAACTTTCATTTACATTAGCAAAACACAAGAGCATTTCAAATAAGTCTTGTAAGCTCCAAAATAGGGGGGAATTTCAGGGAGAGCTCAGTTCCATTAATTTCAGAAAATTAGCGGAAATTCTTTAGAAGCATCCAGATTTTCAGAGAACTTCACAGATGTTAAGACAATTATTGAGGTCTTCTCATAAGTTCTGGAACTTTTATAAGCTTTTATAATCAATAGACTACTATGATTTTACTGATGTTCTCAAGATTTTTCAAAAGTTCATGGAACTGCCCTTAATTTATCGACACTAATTAACGTTATTGAAACTGCAAAAAAAAAACCACTGAATTTCTTTAAATTTCACTAAATATTAAAAAAAATAATTAAACTTCAACTGCAAATTTCATTAGGTTTTATAAAAATTTTAAACGCTCCCAGAACTTTGCCTTCAATCAAATATATTATATTAACAATATGATCCACTCTTTCGCTTAGCTGGCGAACCGAATTTTCAGCGATGAAAGCACCTCTGTGGCCAAAAAGGCTACCAATGTATTTGTTTATCGTCACGAGGGGTAAACCAAATGAAAATTTGTTTAATAATTCAAATGAATGTATTTCAGCATTTTAATTTATTTGATGACAACAGTGACATGCCCGACAAATTTTAAAGTAATATACACACTGTTATTAATGAAAATAATTTGACTCTTACTTTTGTAATAAGTGCTATATTCGCACCCCTCGATTGTAACTGAATGATTGTTGCTGACCTTTTTCAACGCTAGATGGAGCGTGAAGCAATATTTTGCGGGTTGCCATTGCAACATTTGGAAAAGGCACGAATGGATCATATTGCTAATATGATATATTTGCTTCAATCTAATTCTATTGCTGAATCTAAAATCTCTTCTCCTCCGAACTTATCTGGATATCCCAGATGTTTTCTAGGCTCACCTGAAGTTCTCTATATTTGTTTAATGTTGCGACATTTTTTTATATGGATCATTCCAGCTCAAGTGGGTACACCACATGTGGTCGATGTCACCAATTTGAGCCAAACTTGGCCAAAACGCTTATTTTGGCATTCTGAACTAAACGCCTTTCTTGATTTTGCTCTGAAGTACCTAGATCCCTTTCGGCTACAACCCTGGATTTTCGAGGCTTTTAAAAATTTCAACTTTCAGAAGAGATTACTCCACAACCAAATAAGCTATTCGTGATCTTAGAACGTCAATTTGAAGGTTTTTTTTCACGTAGATTCTTATAGGTGTACCCAAATTTTGTTTTTGTTATAGTAATTACAGTAAGAACAAGGCTGATTACCGGCAGGTATCCAAATTATAAAAAATTGCCTATTTTCACGATGGGCGGGAATTTTTATTCCTTAATATATTGGGCTCAAATTTTCACCACACCTTGGAAAACTCTTCTACCTGATGTGTTTCCAAGGGCAAATGATTTGGACAAATAGTTTTTGAGATATGACCAAATGAGTTCTTCTGACATTTTTTCGTATTGCTCAGTAGATATATAACAGAAATTCAATTTTGTGATGCTTTTCTCTGTTTGTTTAACTGCCCAGTCGTAGAGCTCTCGTGGGGTTGTAATAGTATTTCCGTATTCTTGGGCAAGGTTTGCTCTTTTTGCCATTCGTTTTAAAGTTCCACCAATAGCTTCACAGGGACCTTTGCCATGAGATGTTTCAAAGAAATGACAATCTGCTTCCAATTTGTGCATTGATTTGAAGCTACATAGACTGGCAAATTTTTTTTCTACTCTTCTAATGAGCAGCTGCTCCATCTGACATAAAAGTAATTTTGGAGAAATCTATTGATAATTTCAAGAATTCTATCAGTTTTGAAATGAACAATATTTTTTCCTTGATTTGTTTTCCGTCGATCTTGTTTTCCGTGCTGAGCACCAATGCTACCGACGCCAGGGAGGCAGCTCCCACACCTGGACCCTACCTATCGACCCATCAACTCATGAACCGGGGACCAACGACTTTACTTCCCAAATCGTGATCAGAAGAGATGTTATGCCTCAGAACATCTTGGTGGCACCGACTGGGATTGAATCCAGACCTGCTGGGGAGAGAGGTAATCACGCTTACCACTAAATCACCGACGCCACTACAATCTTATACTATATCCACCATAAATATTGCACGGCATGTCTTGAAGCATACATGCTTACCTTACCATACCAATCAGCCTAAGGCTTTGTTGTCCTCTGCTGTCCTCTGCTGTCCGAAGAAGTCGTCTCCACTCT